TTCTTTTCCATTGGTCTATGTGTCTATTTTTATTCCAGTACCATGCTGTTTTGATTACTATAGCTTTGCATTATAGTTGGAATAAGGAAGTGTGATGCCTCTGGCTTAGTTACTTCTCAGAATTGCTTTGGCTCCTCAGGGTCATGTATGGTTCCATAAATATCTTAGGATTCTTGTTTCTATTTCTGTGAAAAATGCCACTGGAATTTTTACAGGAATTGCATTGAATCTATAGATAGCTTTGGGTAGAATGGACATTTTAATATTAATTCTTCTGACTCATGAGCACAGGATATTTTTCCATTTGTTTGTGTTTTCTTCCATTTCTTTTGTCAAAATCTTGTAGTTTTCATTGCTTGGATCTTTTCCTTCCTTGGTTAAATGTATTCCTGAGTATTTTCTTGTTCTTGATGCTATTGTGAATGGGTGTGGTTTCTTTATTTCTTTTTCAGGTATTTCATTGTTACTGTATAGAAACTCAACTGATTTCTGAACACTGATTCTGTATCCTGCAACTTTACTGAATTTGTTGACTAGTTCCAACTGTGTTTTGGTGTCGTCTCTAGGATTTTCTACATATAAGATCATGTCATCTGCAAATAGAGACAACTCCACTTCTTCCTTTCTGATTGGATGTCTTTCATTTTTGCCTGACTGAGTTACCTAGGACTTGCAGTACTATGCTGACTGGGAGTATTGAGCGTGGGCATTGTGTCTTGTCCTGATTTTAGGGGAAACGCTTTCAACCCTTCACCATTGAGTATGATGTCATCTGTGGGTTTGTCATCTATGGCCTTCATTATGTTGAGGTGTGTATGTTTCTTTCAGACCCAATTTGTTTTTTTAAATCATGAAAGGATGTTCCCCTTGAAAGAGGGTTCCCATCTTGGAAAACATCATGGTTCTGGTGGAGTCCGGGAAGCTCTCCCTCACCTTGGGTATTCCTGGTATCTGAGAACCTCTGTTGCCCTCTGGGGGGTGAGGCAATCCTATAGGGATACCCACCACATCTGGCTCATGTGGAGACATGCACATAAGGGCTGGTTTCCCTAGAAGTCTGTTCAGACTCTATGGATCTCAAACACACACACACACACACACACACACACACTAAAATTAACATGGGAAATCATGCCTTCAAGGCCAACAAGCCCCATGACTGTCAACCTTCCATTCATTCTAAAGTGACTTCTAGATTAATCTTTTTGTACGCACCATAAAAAACTATAAAATTAGGAAAACATATTTAATTGGTCTCTCGAAGCATTAAAAGAAAGATTTAGATGAATAGATCAACCAATGATGTTGTTACGTGTCAACCCAATTCTTTGAGGTATTAAAAATGGCTGTCCTTATGTTAAAAGGGGATGATCATTTGGAACTTGACTTGTCAAGGAAAGATATAAGTTGTAAATGCCTCCAAAACAAAAAGTGGATCCAACTGTTCTTTCATAAACTAATGGTAGTTTTCCTCATGGATAAAAGATATGTTTCTGTTTGTTTGTCTGTATGTGCCTACGTATGCATGTTGTAAATGTAAGGTAATTTTCAACTTCTGCTGCTATTGTTAAAATTAATGGGAAGGCCAGCACTGGTAAGAATTGGGTATTCTAAAATTATCAGAAATATAGAAACTAACTCAAACGCTTTTCAAGTTCACAACTTTAGATTGATTTTTACTAAATAAAAGCTATTTTAAATTTGTTGGTTCAAGAACAGACATGTCTTTTGAATCGTTAATAAAATATTTATATTTTACCCGAGTTTATAAAAATAAGTCTATGTCAGTAACTGACTCTGATGTCAATGGAATATGCTTCTAGAGGTTATAAAATATCTTCACAAATTTGCCAAGCTAAAGAATGCTAGTTGTTTACTTCTTAGTTTTCATTGGACATTGAGATTTTAAGGGTTAAAATCTCAATATATGTAGGAATAACTTTGCAGCCAGAAGAGCCCCTGGAATACCTCCAAGTTTTGTTTTTTATGTTAAATTACATGGAAATCATAGTACAACAAGTGATAGAAAACTACCAGGGTATGTTGTACGGGTGAATAATGGTTGTCAATTAAATGAATAGTCAGGATTATTGGAAACCCAAAATAGCTGCTTGGTCCTTCCCAGGCTCGTTGGCAAACCCCATTTTCTTTTAAGATGGACTTGGGTGAAGTAACTTATGAGTTGGCATTATTCAAAGGAGCCATCTTAGCTATTATCAAGGTTTGATAAAGTCACTTCAAGAAAATGTCAAATGGGTAGCCACTTCCTTTCACAGTGAACTCCCAGGAGACACAGACTTAGAGTTCACTGATTGCTACCTGGAGATGTTGTTTATTGGAAAGGACAAATATGAAAGACACTCTGCAACTTCATTGGAAGGGACTTATCAGGTGCCTAACTGTGAATGAATATCTAGCTTTGTCTCTGCTACCCGCCTCCGCCTACAACAGTCATCCGAGACTCCTTGAGGATGAGAAGCTGCCCACATCAGAGTTAGACAGCTGTCCCAAGACATCGACAAGGCCTGTATACCTACAGATTGATATTTAACACAGAAAACAATTGATTGTCTTTACCAGTTTGCTAAGAACATTAGTCCTAATAATAGTTATACTTGTTTTGGAGGTTTTTCATTATAGTTCAACTATTCCTGATGACTGAATATGTATAAAATAACTTAATACTCTCTTTCATGGCTTATATAAATGTCATACGAGGTACCAAATACAGGAAAAAAAATGAGACAGAAGACAAAACTCAAATCATGACAGTTCACAAGACAGAAATGATCCAATGGTCTTCAGAGTGAAAGCCATAGGACCCAAAAGCCTTCGGTTTACCTGCGCTTCCCTTTTGGGGAAAAGTGCAGCCTCACATAGCATTGCCCCATCCCCAATGGTCCACCATCTCAACAAGACAACATTAATACTGAGACTTCCTAGAACTGAGCCTGCCTAGCCCTGTGAGACCACCTTGTCCAACTTAAGGTTGGTCATCAATGCATCCTTCAGATTGATTTATAATCGAAAGGGGGAATTGTGAAAGATGAAGGGGTTCTACAGAAAGTATCCTCACACAGTGATCTGACTATAAACTCCTAACTGGGTAGGTCATGGTGGGTAGTAACACTGTAGGCCTCTAACTTCTTTTTTCTTTTTTATTAAATGTCTTGGGGTGACAGTGGTTAATAAAACCCTACAGGTTTCAAGTATACAACTCAATAACACATCATCTGCCCACTGCACTGTGCACTCATCACCCAAAGTCAAATCTCTTTCCGCCATCATTGATCTCCCTCTCTGCCCTCTTCTTCAGTGAAAGGTTTTAAGCCAGCCCTGTTCATTGTTCTTGTGCACCTACCTTAGGACACCTTCGAAATAACAAAAGTAATTACCACCCTCAAAAGAGTACATAATCTTATTAACTATTCTGTAATCCGATCCCCGCCTTGCTTTCTCTAATCTTCCCTGGGTTCCCTCCTTAATTTCAAATGCATAAAAGAAGGTGCAAAACAATTATCTCAGGAGTGTTTGAGATCTTGCTTCCCGGCAGTGTCATCCGTTTTGCTCAAATAAACTCTTATTAAAGATTCTCTACAGGTCTGGACGTTTCTGACATCGACAGCTTCTTCAACTAAAGAGATATTTAGTGTGTTCATAGTCTGAGTGTTCGAGGAAGAGGATTAAGGTACACGCAAAATGTCTATGATACTGAAGGATGAGCTGAGAGGTGGAAACTTTCCGCAAAGATTTTGCCTAACTAGTTTAACTAACTTACCTATTTTTAAACTTAATTTCTAATTATTTGGGTGACAGCTATTGCGGATGCGTTAGGAAACGAAAATATTTTTCTTACATATACCAAATGAGCCACCTGCAGCCACGAATCCTTGTGTTAACACACGCAGCCTAACCACCTTTCATCATCATTACATGAAATAGGAAACATAATCATCTCAGTGAAAAATGTTTATAAATGCACGTATGGATGTTGCTCATGCGGATTTTAATAACATGGTAATGCCTACTTACAAGGCAAGGAGAGAAGGCAAGTTTCAGTCAAGCATCATTAAGACCCATGAAAAAAAAACAAGTAATGGAATTGTTCTTTGTGACTTATTACTAAACAAGATCCATAGCAAATTAGAATACGTAAGGTAGGCAAACAGAGAAGCACACAGATCTATCTCCTCGACCATCCATTAGCCACAGGGCATGTCCTTATTACTAAATTTTAGAGACACCCATTGAGACAAGCGTGGTAGGTAGGAAATTACAGGAAGCTAATGTAATTCTGAAGTCATAAAATATTCCATAATGGAAGGTGTTGCAAGGTAATTTTGGCACGGGCAACATTTGCTTTTATAATATGATCGTATGTTAAGGTGATTTTAAAAATCAATTTAAAAATTCATAAGACGATTTTACTCTCCCGTTACTATATGGGTTTATTATACAATCTTTCATGCGGGGATTATTTCAAGGGAGTTTATTCCAAGACAAGTGTTCTTTCAGGTCACTAAGTCTCCAAAGACAGAACAAAACCTATCTTCCAAATAGACCATGCCCAACATCACCCGCAAGGGGAGGCCACAGAAACCTCGCATGTCCTGCAGACCAGGTAGCTTTGACGCGTGCACCTCACCCCACACAAGAAACATTTCGTAGTAAGTGTCCTGATCATTTGGTGCCCCTGTGAAGAGCGACCAGCAGAAGCTGTGGTCCAATTCCAAAAATATGGTCCTGGAAAATCCCTTCTGCCATCTCTTCATCTTAAATCAAATTCCATGCCCCCCAAACACAGTGAAGTTACCCCAAACTCCATTTCTTTGTCAAAAGGAATCGTACCAATGGAAAGAAATGATATGTTACTGAAAGAATTTAAGAGAATTGTTTCATTAAAATGACAAATGCAGTGTCCAGACCTAGAACTCACTCACTTGTGGCTAGAACAAAAAGGGGGGCGGGGAGCACACTGGCGCGGCTATTTGGACACCAACCTGGTATAGGCTGCGGTGCTAACACCACTGTGGGAAGGGGCCTGGAGGCAGGCGCTGGCCTGGACAGAGACACAGCTACTTGATTTGCCAACAAATGAGGCTTTTCATACCCATGGAACAATCTTGATTCCTCGGGATATATCCATGTTGAGTCCAGAGCAAAGGAATTATTTAAAAAGATCTGTCCAAAAAAGAAAGCAAGTGTAACATTTCAGACCATGCACATGAGAAAGACTAAAGGCGACTGTAAAATATTTGTCTTGTCTTACATTGATCAAATATTGGAGAGTCTATAAGTGAGGACTCTATAAAAGCATCCTTCTCCAACCTAAAGATCCACGGGGCTCCAATAACGATCACCATGAAGTTCTCATGGTCGGCGCTGGAATTCAACTATTGACTTGGTTAATTCAGCACAGCAGCCCGTTTACAGACTAAAGAACCGTCACAAGGAGGTCCGTGGTGTGGCATAGACAAGCCACCACATCATTTTTCTTCTCTTTTTTTAGTTTTCCAACAAAGTGCAATTAGTACATTTGAATTCAAACGCCAAAATAGACCACCAGAAGGAGGAATACTTAAAGCAATCATTGCAAGAAAAGCTCGCTTTTAAAATTTATACTTGAATTATATCATGTTTGAGGCCATCTGTTGACCCATTGTCACAGATTTGAAAACTGAACATTGTCAAGAGTAGATTCTGATTCACAATGGAAAATTCTATATTGTGCTATGGAATCCAAATATATCAAGCTAAAACAAAATACCATTCCCCCTCCTCCCCATCTGCTGGTGTTTAACAGACTGATCTTATTCTGAAAAGATTCCTCTTTAGACCTAGAAGGTCAGTCTAGTGCAATTAGCAAAGAGAAAACACACTGTTTTCTGTTGTTATGGAAATACCCAACGACTTCATAACTGAATCCCACTTATCCAATGAAACTATTTGCATTTTTACCTTACAATTGGGTATCCGTTTGTCTATCCAACCTTTCCCAACAGGAGGGGGGAGAGCAGGTGGGCAGACATGTGGGAAGATGGGCACCAGCTCCACAGTGGAAGAGGGGGACAGTCCTATTGATGGAGAAGGGCCACCGAATAGCCACTGAAACCCAAGAAGAGAGAAGGGAATGCTTGTTAGCTCGTTAGCTCGTATCCATCAACTCTAGTTTGTCCCATAAGCTACTGGGGCAGCTGCTTTCTCATTTTTTTAAAGGGAATTTTAAAATATATGTATTTAATTATGAGAAAAACCTCCTCTTTCCCCAGTTTTAAAAAAAAACACCCACACATTTTTAAAATGCATAAGGTTTCCCATCAGAACCATCACAAAGCATTACCCACACTGCACTCTTCAATACTGAGAAAGAACTTCTAAGCACAAAACCACGAGAACCCGGTAAGAAGTGGGTTTCTGCCTGAGATAGAAGGAACCACAATGGAAAGGGGAGATGTTGGGTATTCCCTGTATGACTCGTGAATTCTTTTCATAAGCAAGCAGAGAGCTGTATGTCAGGAGAGTCCTTTCAGCATAGCATTCTGTATGAATTATACTTACCTTTTTAAAAGACAAACACAAATAATATTTCCAAAATAAAACTCGTTTAGGGGTTAAGATTGAAAGTTGCCCACGGCTCACAAGTGCACACAGATTCCATAGGCAAAGGAGACGTAAGGGTAGCTCATCAATAACCGAAGATCCCAAAGCACAGAGTCAACGAGCGAACACCGAAAGGGGCAGGCCGCCTGGGAGACAGTCCCCCTCGTTAAAATAACTGAATCTCCACGAGCAGAGAACTGTGATATGGAATGCTTCCACATCGACTTCTTTTAAGATCAGAGAAGCATTTTTTAATTTTCCTGTTATGTGGAAATGTACTTCTGGTTCTAAATATTGTCACTGAACAGAAAACATGGAGCACAAAAACATTTAAAAGAAGAAGAATACGATTTTTTAAAATATATTTTTAAATTTACACCCCCCCAAAATGCAGTGTTCTATATAGGGGGGAGAAAAAATGTAGTTCCTGGGCATTCTATACCTCTAGTGGTAACACTCTGATATAGCAACCCCCTGAAAATGCCCAAAAAGCTACAACCGTTTATTCAATAAAACCCAATATGAACTGCATCGCACATCAAAATAGATATCTAGGACTGCATGTGTGATGTATCATTAGGTCTAAAGATCAGTGTGGGCGGAGTTTAACAACATCTTTAAGGAAAGCTCACAAGATAACATAGGAAAAAAATTAATTAAATGGTGGATTCTAACATACCGCTTATTTGAATATGCTAAGGAAGACTATCCTTGGAATGAAATGCGTTTTCCCCTGATTTAAATGCATCTGCATAGTTAGAGAGCAAACAATGGATCTTGCCAAAACCAGCCTGCCTTGCTGGGTTGCACCATTAATCAAAGGTACAGTCACTTTTCCCTTTTCATTCCAGGCTTTAAATGCCAAAGTATTCCAAAGTGCAGTATGGCACTAGCTAGCTAATGAGGCGGGCTCGGGGGGACCTCGTTTGGGGGTGGGGGGCGTCGGTTTATCACCGGTAACATTCCTCGGTATTAAAGGCAGGGTTTCCCTGCAGCTTCCATTGGTCTGAATTCTCTTCAGCATTGTCCTGAGTCTATTTTCACATAGAAGAAAAAAAAAACCCCAACCAGATCAGCATCAGAAATAGCTATTGATTCCCAGCCTGCTTTTCAAGTCTGGCAGAGACTGTAAAAGTATTAACTTCTCTGCG